ATGTTGCTGCTGATCTGTTTCATGTTGCTGCTGATCTGTTTCAATGTTGATGTGTTCATGCGTGCACATCTGCTCACAGACTCATGTTCATGTTTGTGCTGATGTTCAATGTTTTATGTTATGAGTGCTTAGTGTATATTTAGTTGATGTTTTTCTTAGTTCATATCTTAGATGTTATTACTGTTTTTCTTATACATTTTATTGTTGGATGTAACTGGGACCCTGTGTACATAATTTCGCTCCACCACATGTACCACATGAGGTGCGAATGACAATAAAGAAACTCTGACTCTGACTCTGACATACATACACATGAATATACATTCATATACATATCTATATATCTACATATAAAGCCTAAATAAGCATCCCTGCTTCTATTTGTGTGTGGTTGTGAGCATGCATAAGTGTATAAGGCTTCTCTAATAGAACATTTAATAGTAACTGTGAAGCAGCAGAGACCCGACCCCCAAGACCAGAGGCAGACGAAAAAGGGGGGACCAGAGCCCAAGACCCCAGGAGGGACCCCGACCGCGGAGCCCCCAGGGCCACCCACACGGACGAACCACTCACCCACCCCCCAGATCGGACCACAGGGGAGAACCAGAAGATCCCCACCAGCGACCACATACAGTGACCCCCGGGGCCAACAGCAACAAACTCATAGGCCTCCGTCGGAACCCGTCGCACTGATGTAGGTCCAGGCCCGGGCACCGAGGCCCGGGCACCGAGGACTCACACCACCCAGGCCAAGGCCCGACAGGGCCAGAGGACCCGAGCCCCACCAGGCAGACACCAGGCCGAGCCGACACACGCCCAAGCGCCCTGCCCCCGACTCCAAGGGCCCCAAGCGCGCTGGCAGGCAAGGGCACACCCCACCAGGGGGTGTATGGTAATAGTTGCTGTATGGTTTGTTGGGAGAAAAATGCTGAACAGGTTAATTTTTTTTATTTTCGAGTTAGACAAAAGACAAAGATTGAATGGCTCTGAGAATTATGAAGCAGAACATTTTGTTACTTGAGCTTAAATTGCCTGCTGAAAATAAATTAAATGGGTATATTAGATTTGTGGGATTAATTGTTGGAGTAAAAATTCTAATAGAGGAGATTAGATTACAGTTTATCTTTGTTAAGGAAGGATCACATATTCATTATTACAAAGAGGAATGGTTATATAATTCTTAACACAATTAGTGAATTCACCATTAATGCTTGGATGTATTATTTTGGGACTTATTTTCACGTCAAGCACCTAAAAGAGATGTCCCGTGGTGGCTGTGGTCCAATGTGTCTTGTTATGATCAGAAGTAGTTGATGGGAACTGCTGTTTGATTTAAAACAACCCTTCAAGCGTCACCGTGAGTTCTGTTTACAAGTTTTAAACTCAGCGGTTGATTCGTGCTGGAAGTGCTGCGACTATTCCAGACGGGTTTGAATAATACCACGCAGGTTTAAAATGTCTAACAATGTGTCTCACGGAGGTTTGTGAAAATTACAAAACTAGCATATTACCCTATTGTTTGGCGGAGATTATTATTATTGAGGAGTGGTGGTGCAGAGGTTACAGAAGGTGGGTCTGTGATCGGAAGATCGTCATCAGTTCAATTCCCAGTACTGACAACATCAAAATGTGGTGGGATAGGTGAAGCACCCGCACCTGCCTCCACCCTCATTTGCCCCACTCTGGGCCCTTGAGCAAGGCCCTTAACCCCCACCATCTGCTCCCAAACAGGTCCCTCTTGAAAATGAGTTCTCCTGACTCAATGAGATCTGTATAAATAAAGGTTAAATAAAATGTTGTTGTCTGGTCTTTCTGAAAGTTTTTTGTTCTTTACCAGTCATACCAGGGCACTGCACAGAAACATTCATATACATAAAAAGTAAATAAGGCTCTTCTAGTTGCCACGGAAAAGTTATGCCAGAAAAAGTACGGCCAGTTAGTGGTCACTTGAATAATGAACATGTTCAGAACTTCTGTGCAGATTTCATCCATCCATCTATTATCATTACTTCTTCACAGTGGTGGGGAAAGTACTCAAACACTGTACTTAAGTAAAAGTGCAAATAAACAGACAAAAATGTACTAGTAAAAGTAGAAGTATCACATTAACATTGTTACTTAAGTAAAAGTAAATAAGTACTTGCTTTTAAAAATACTTAAAGTATTAAAAGTAAAAGTACTTGCTGAATGTATTACCTAATGCAGTGGTCTACAATATCATTAAGTGTGCCTACGTATGTGTATATTCTACATTAATAGTGTTGAGCCATTTTAATGAACAAAGCTGCAGATAATACTTTGTACATGTTTTTATTGTGTTTACTCTGTGACACAGTTCACTCTTGGACTTGTGATTCTGTGCGTCAGAATTTCAGGGATGACCTGCAGAGTTAAATGTCATTAATCAAAATAAGAAAGATGAATGATTGAAAGTTTTTATTTAACACAAATCAATCTTCCTCCTTTTGGGGTCATGGGGGTCACTGGTGGCCATATCCAGCAGTTACTGTGTGAGAGGTGGGGGACACCCTGGACAGGTCTCCAGTCCATCACAGGGACACATAGAGACAAATGAGACAAACAACCATTCACTCTCACACCTAGGGACAATTTAGAGTTACCAATCAGCCTAACATGCATGTTTTTGGTCTGTGGGAGGAAACTGGAGTACCCGGAGAAAACCCACACATGCACAGAGAGACAAGGCTGGGATTCTTTCCGGCAACCTTCTCGCTGAGAGCCCGTAGCTCTACCAGCTGAGCACCTTGCTGCCCTTCTGTGCAGAATTGTAAAAGATAATGAATGGTGACAAGCCACTTGTGTTTTTAAAATTACACTAGAACAAAATCCAAATTATTTTATAGAAGAGTTTTTTGTGGGTTTTATTCAGAGCTTCAGATAAAATGTACTAAAACCAGTCTGCTAATTATTTGAACATGAGCTAATACTTAGTCCAGAAGCCAACAGCAAATGTATTTTTTACTCATTTAACTTTGTTTTATGGGGCATTTGATTTAATTTGGGAACTTAAATGTTATTTTATTTAGAGATTATTTAAATATATCAAAAGCTTTATGTTCTTTTGTGCTGATATTTTCTACTGAGATACTTTCCAACAGGAGGAAACAAAAACCGTATAAAGTATAAATATAAGGTATTATGACTTTTTATAATTGTTTATTGTTGTTGCCCATTGTTGTCATCTTTCTTTGTTGAAATCAGGTCTCTCTTGTAAATGAGTCCTCGAAGCTCAATGGGATTTACCTGTATAAATAAAGGTTGATTGATGAATATGTGGGCACTAGTAGAAACAACAGAAATAATAAGCAGAAAGGAAACGACACAGGTTGTTTCTATAAATTCTTTATTCATGCAGATTTGACCACCTCTACATTTAGAGGCTTTTTTTAACTTGATTTATTTTGAAATTCTGTTGTGTTGATGTCTTACTTTTCAAAAAAGAAAGTGGGGTTTTCCTTTATTGGCTTCCAATAAACCCAGAATGATCAATCTGTCAGTTTTTGTACACTTTTTAGGCAAAGAACACCCAGGTAATATATATA